GGGGGCTGGAGAAAACCCTGGATCTGGAGCGGAGTGTGGGGCGCATTTGGGGCTGTACGTGGGGAAGTGTGCAGGAGCCTGGGAGTGTGTGTGTGTGTGTGTGTGTGTGTGTGTGTGTGTGTGTGTATGGCGACCCAGGGAGGGTAGCCAAGTTGAGGCAGGAACGTGGTACAGCGAGCTCTCAGTGGTGAAGGAGTTAAGAGTTCTTGGGGGCCCTCACTGGGAGGAGGGGGTGAGTGGTCCTGGCCCAGACTAACTATTGCTGAGGGGAGGCTGGAAAAGGAGGAGGAAAGTGGAGAGAGAGAGAGAGAGAGAGAGAGAGAGAGAGAACCTAGGCTGGGGTGAGGAGGGACAGCAGACTGGGGCCAGGCCCCAGCAGGTGGCCCTGCTGTGGGAGGGAATAAAGACTGAGGAAGAGTTAAGTTCTCCCGGGAGGGGGCCGACAGTGCATCTGACCTGGGGTCAGGGCTGTGGGACCCTCACTGGGAGGTTTGGGAATAGGTTAAAGCAGAGGGGGGATCAGAGAGGCCACATTTTTTAGGATCAAAAGTGCCCTCAACCCTTTGTCCCAGGTGCCCTGAGGGTATAGGGGTTGCCCATTGGGCTACAGTCCGCATGGTTGGCAGTTCGAAACCACCAGCAGCTCAGCAGGAGAAAGACTGGGCGTTCTGCTCCCATAAAGTTACCATGAATCCACAGGGGGTCGCCATGAGTCAGCATGGACTCCATGGCAGTGACCTCTCCTCCAGGAAAGCCTTTCTGCTTGGGGAGAGAACTCTTATTCATCCGCCCAAGCCTAGCCTAACAGCGTTTATTCGAACACTCCAAAGGCTCTTTCATCTCAGCGCACAGTAGGATCTTCCACGGAGATAGCGGAGTCCATCTTCCCTAGGGGGTGGGAGTTCCGGAACTACCTTCAGGGGACTGGAGAAGAGAGCAGGGATTAGGTAACAGGGGGAGGGGCGGAAGCAGGCCAACAAGGTGTCAGGTGGATCCGCGGGATCCAGAGCGACTGGTCCACAAGAAAGCCCGTGAGCCGCGTGCGGAAGGAAGGGGCCTCTTGGGGGCGCCCGAGACCTTGGTGTTGCCAGAACCCGCGCCAGGCCCCTGGCTAGGTGACTCAGCCACTGTATCTGCGGGGGCCCGGGGGCCGTGGTCCGAGGGCTGTCGGGGGCGGTCAGTGCGGCCCCCTCCCGCTCCGCGGTCGGGCGCGGTTGCTACGCTCTTCAAGGCCTCCGAGAGACGCGATCTGAGCGAGCCTCATCGGTTACTATGGCAACGCTGCGCCCCAGCCTC